GATGATTTATTTGAAAATGGAACAATATGGATGTTGTTCGTCTTTGGAGGTTCAGCTTTATTTTAAGAAACATTTATTTCCACCAGAGTGCTTTGAATGGCAGGCGGAATATCAAATCTAGACATCGCCTTTCAAAGACAGCCATTTGAGTGGAATTCCCTTTTTTTTTTGTACTATTGGCATAAAGTAAGCTAAATATGTTTCGACTTGGATGCATATACTGATAGGCAACGCAGCAGACGCTGTGGGAGCTGCAAAGCCATCAACTCGGGTCACACTCCATCACCGTTGGCTTCCTGCCCTTAACAGGGCACCGCGAGCAGAAAGAGAGGGGTGGTGAGTGTCAGGAACTGTGAAGGAAACAAATGCGGCAGGACAGCATCCCATGCAGGAAAAACATTTCAGCACCTCAGCTTAATGATAGCGAATTACCATCAGCACTCGTACCGCCCCTCCCCGTTTCGACTCGTCGAGGAAATGTGTATTAGGGGTATGGACTTTTTTTTTTCTTTTTGGGAACACATTTCCAAACTTCTCTATTTCTTCTTATTTTAGAGGCAGTGGATGAAAATATGTGAAAGATTTTGTCTTCCATTCAACATTTGTTGTTATTTCCTGCTCTTGTTTGGTTGATCCCTTGTGTCTTTTCAGCAGCACAACCGAGCCTCTCTGGTGGCAGGGTGAGTGATGAGTACATTCACCTCCACTCTGCTGGGCTCCATTCCGCTCTCAGTGTCGACGCCGGTGTGCTAATGCATACTAATATGCGCATCTGCAGTGCAAATTTGCAAATATGTGTCTACGTGACTACATTATGCAATATGCATTTTTTTTAGGTTTGAGAGGATGGACGTTGGTTTGTACAAAAATGTTTTGAGCATGACTTGGCTGGCATTTGGACCACTGCGCAGGTTTTTGGGCACACTCCCACATTGTGTTTGTGGAAACAATGACAGATGATGATGTTCCATTGTGTTATCTTTCTTCCAACAATGAAGATAATCTCATTATTCAAACCACTTCCATTTTACAAACACGAACCACCTGGACAGCCACAATAGAATGTTTGTAAAATAAAAGCAGCGTCCGGAAAAAAAGGACCTTAATGGATATCAGGAACTTAAACTGAAAGGAGGTTGGAGGGAGAGACCTATGAAAAGAGAAAATACGATACAGACCAAACTAAGACAAACACCCACACAAACAAGGACAGTAATTGTTAGCTTGTGTGAATGAAGAATGTAGGACGGAAATTGATGAATTGAGATTCTTATTTGCATAAAGCCACCAGCGACTATCAGTCTTAAGAGAATCTGAGTTGATTTTGGATTGATACTCCCAAATGCATATTTCACACTGTCAACAGGGCGAGGGCGGGAATGGGGGGTAAATCCCCGCGCACTCGGGAGCAACTCCATCCCTAAAAACCTCTTAACAGATGTCTCAAGTGAAAATAAACCCGTCATATTTTGATATATTTTGTGGTGGAATGTCATTGTTTTCTGCACCGAAACGCTGAACAACAGAGGATGTTTCTTGGCATTCCTTTAAACAAACATATTCAACAAAACAAAACATTTAGCTATTAGCTTTCAACTTTGCATTTAAGGTCGTGTTCAGGACCAAACTATCACAAGTGTATGTTTTACGTATGTGTTGTTTGGAGGTGAGGGGAATGTATGTGTTAGTGGGAGGGGGCGGGGAGATGGGGAGTTGTTTTGCCTAAAGTGTCTGCCGACTTCACACGTTAACAACACATTGTCCACAACAAACACACAGATTGACCAATGCAGCGTGTACTGTAGATAAACATCTGATATAAACACAGAAAGCCGACACATTTTCCTAAAAACAAACAGAATATGATGATGATGATGATGATGATAGTGCAGAAACCAAATTGCTGCCAGTGCACTTCATTCTCCTCGCCCTGCCTGACGAGACAAATTGTAATTACCATCGGCCCAGAGTGACACATGTAGTTCACTAATCTCCCCTCACCCCACCAGCACATCAACATCCGTCCTAAAGCATGAACCCCGTCACCAGATGAAGAGCGAGAGGACGCCCTGACCCCCACCCTTCAACAACAGAGCAGCGAAAGGGATCCCAAATGCAAACATACAGAGTCCTCTCTTTTTTAATCAGGGGCCCCTTGGACCTCCGTGCCCCGGTTGCCCCTCTCGCTTTAGCCTATAGGCAACACCCTCAGCACTCTCGGCCCACCTTGAGCACAGACGCACACTCTACACAGCTGTCAAAACCCTGATGCCTTAATCAATCCTGGATCCGCAACCCTGTCAGACACAGTGCTAAGATGGATGCACGAGGGGCTCACCTCTGACCTCTGCCAGTGGTGGAGAATGCAACTCCTACATGCTCGACCCCCCTCCTCTCTCTCGCTCTCTCTCTCTCACACGCACGCACGCATGAACACACACACACACAGACACACACACACACAGACACACACACACACACACACACACACAGTCCCTAAGTACCACCAGCCACACTGAGCTCCGATGGTGCCCCCAAACAATGACGGAGGAAAGCCCATTCATCCTGCGCTGGGAACAAGAAACTAAAGAACAGCTATAGTAATATATAGAAAGAGCCAAAGAAAACCTGTATTATACATACACATTCACAAATAGAAGATTGATATAGAACCATAATCAAGATTTAGATCACATTAAAGTCATACCCTTCATGTCTCAGAATGCCTCTGTCAAAGAGAAGTTAAATGACTCTCATAAAACGTGTCAGACTGGACGCTATTACACAGCTAATCAATGCACGTAACGATTGAGCCCCGATTTTTTTTTTAACCTTTCGGTCACCTGAGCACAAGCAAGCACACAAACAGCATTAAGTTACCGAATTTAAATGTTCTTCCATTGTTACTAGGCGATCAAAGCAAGAATGACGCAGCTAGCTGAAGTAAACTGAACGTGATGGACATGATGGCTTGAAAAGAGATTGCATGCTTCATATGATCATGGTTTCCAAATCCTTTTTTTGTGTTTTTTCACTGTATGGTATTTTTTTTCTTCTGAAATGTAAAAGATTTACAGTCGTATTTTGAGGTCTGCCCAAAGTGGGGCACTCACAAACTGGGCGAGGCTGTCATTTTGATTTGAAGTGAACACATTTTAGTAAACGCTATTGAAGATTCTATTAAAGTCTGTAACTAAATACCAGTCACGGTCTCCTTTTTAAACCGTCCATCTATCCATCACTCTGAGGAAAAAAAACAGCTTTTTTGACAACTCAAATCGGTTCGTTTTTGTACGGGAGCACAAGCACATGTTGTCATCCAGAACCATCTGTGACCACTTGGACAGCTTTTCCTGGGCTCCCCAAGCAGCTAGCGCTACCCCTAAATCACTAGTCCTGTTTGTCATGCAATTAGTCCAAGATAAAGGCTCCCCATAAATAAAGAGAGGCGTCCTTGTCTGCCCCCTTGTTAATCACCCGTGCTCAGCCTATGACCCCTCACTGCTGAGGCCCTGTGCTTATTGAGTGTTAGTCCCCAACGGTTAGTGGATGTTGTGTAGGCTGCACCAGTAAAATACTCTGACAGAACCCGCAGTCGTTTGTTTGGTCAGATGAAAAATATGCCTCAACTTGCTCACATACTGCACTCAATCTGCAAAGCAATCCTAATTCAATCTAAAAAAACCCCAAATAAATAAAACAGAAATAAAATTCATTGTCATGCTGGCAGTGCTTTCCATCCATCCATCCATTTTCTGATCCTTATCCTCACAAGGGTCAAGGGGCGTGCTGGAGCCTATCCCAGCTGTCTTCGGGCAGTAGGCGAGGGGACACCCTGAACTGTTTGCCAGCCACTCACAGGGCACACATAGACAAACAACCATTCGCACTGACAATCCAACAGAAGCAGGGGTAATAATTAGTGTTCCATTTGCCTGCCACGCATGCTTTTGGAATGTGGGAGGAAACCGGAGTACCCAGAGAAAACCCACGCAGGCACAGGGAGAACATGCAAACTCCACATAGGAATCGAACCCTGCACCTCTGCACTGTAAGGCAGATGTGTTAACTAGACTACCACCATGCCGCCCTGCAGTTCATTCCTTCTGATAAAAAACCTGGAAGGAGGAATCTTTCCTCTGACCTTTGACTCCCATCATACAAACCATTGCAGGATCACAGCTTGCTAAAGAACAAGTATCCTCGAAGGGCTAGTCCCCACAACCAAAGACACCCCCCCCCCCCACAATTACTTTCGCACTCCCATCGCAAACCTGCAGATTTTCACTCCTCTTTTACCTGCTCAAAATGATTAACTCTAAACCACATTTTTGTCTAAAGCTCTGCAGTCCCATTCGAGCAGGGGTGCCCAATCTTTTTTTGGCAGGCAATCGCAGGGCACATATAGATGAATAACCATGTGTGCCTTGCGATTGCTAGTTCAGGGTGTCCCTCGCCTAGTGTCCAAAGACACCTGGGAAAGGCTCCAGCATGCCCTGTCACCCTTGTGACGATAAGGGGATCAGAAAATGGATAGATATAAAACAACAGCAACATGCACACACGCACGAACGCACACACACACACACACACGCACACACACACACACACAAACACTTTTTTTTCTTTGCTCCACGCCCCTCTTGTGGTCTACATGGGACCAGTCGGCAGTCTATCGGTCAACCACAATGGACTGGTTAGGCACTCCTGCATTAGAGCCACCTACCCTCATCCTGGAGTCACCAATTCTCAGGGGATAAATCCCATTGCACAACACAGTAGGCCTACTAATTACTTCATCTACTTTCATTATTATATCTATTGCCCAAGCTGAAAAGAAAACTGCAGTGAGAACATTTGAGGCTAAAGATAGGGAAAGGTCGAGGAATTGGTTTGGATCAAACAAAGAGAGCATCAAGTATAAACGCAATGGAGGGAGCGCGAGAGCTGAATATTTAAAAATGTTGGATCAACAAACAGAGAATGTTTCAGTTTCTTACCTTGGCAGTCTGCATTTCGCTCCTCGTACCCAGGGTTGCAGAGGCAGTTTCCAATGGGCACCAACCACTCTCCATCGGCTCCGCAGTACATTTTGGGGATCTCTTTCTCCTCTGAATTATCCACGCAGGATCCACGAACCTCCACCAGCGAGGAGGTATCGGCTCCAGTGATTGTATCAGGAAACTGGGCCAAGTTACGCACCGCCAATGGACATTTCTTGTAGAAGACCCTGACTGACACAAGTGCAATGCAGGCTCCGACATCCTGGAAGGCCAAATAGAAGCCCTTGCGGGTCAGGGCACCTACATCGCGCACCTCTGTATTTAGCTTCATGATGCGGTCGCCGATGTCCACCTGAGTGAAACTCTCATCAGCGGCGATAGTATCAATTTTGGCAAACTGGTTTTCACGAATGTAGCGCTCTTTGTCGTTGTTGGACTCATAGTAGTACAGATTGAAGGTTTCCTTGCAAGTTCCCATAAGCCCAGGAAGGCTGTTGCAGTCTCGTAGGGTGAACTTGATCTCGATGTAGACGCGCTGGGCGCCTCCACGAGAAATCCAGTCAGTGCGGAGCCAGTTGTTCTGGTTTGGCTCCATGACATTGCACACCTGGTACGTCCGAATGGGAATGTTCTTCTCATCCATGATGCTCACCTCCTCCCACTGGTGAAAGCGCGCAACCAATTCATGTTACAAAAAGGCTTTCAACATATCTGCCGAATAAACATGCGTGAAAACCTTTAACCATTGTAAATAGCACAGCCACCTTACGCTGTGTTTTCTATGCTATTGCTATTTATTATTATATTTATTCAACACATATATTGCTAATGCTTTATTTTATATTGAACTTATATTAAACTGTGTACAGTTCTTTTCTGAAACATTTATTTTGTGCAATGAAACACTTTACCCCCCCACAATTTTGTTGGTGTACACTGCTAATTTCCCCAGTGTGGGACAAATAAAGGTTATCTTATCTTATATCTTTGAGCAATACACTGCGGTCATTTACATTAACACTGTCATAAAATTTGATCATGTTTTTCTCATTTTAGAACATTATGAATGACTGTTCAACCAATTGAATTTAGAAAGCACACATTGTTCATCACTACAAGCTGCTGAATGCTCATAATTATGAATACCTTGCAAAAAAAAAACACGCAGGAAATACAAGTCAATATATCTCAGCAGTGCTATTAATTGATGGCCAAACTTTATGCATATTTTATGAATTGCATCTAAGCTACTTGTTAGATTCCAATCGACACTCATGCGGATATTTACTGTATATAAAGGATTTGCTTGGCAGAGAGAGAGGAAATTTGCATCTTCATATCAAATACTTATGTGATGCTTCATGAACTCATAACACACGCAAGAAAAAAAAAACACTTTATGGCTGGTCTGTGACATACGAGTCATACTGTAATGTATGCCCATTTTAAGACATGAAGAGACAAAACACGTGTCCGCTACTTCTGTTGGTATGAACTCATTGTAGGAGGAGACGTAGACAAGGGCTGCTTGGATTACCTTATCTTGCGTGACTAGTCTTATTTCGTCTGAGCAGGGATGGGGGTGTTTTTAGGTACAAGTGTCCCTTCTTGACAGGGCACTACTCAGTACATTTTTTGCTGTGAGTTTGGTTGGAAAAATGAACGTGTTGGCCTGCTGCTGTATCTACATCATTGAAAAACCAAGATAAAAATAACCACAACAAAGGAGTGTACGATAACCATTACGCTGTCAGAGTTGTGTGGTACCTTAACATAAACAACGTTATTTAGAGCTTGTGACTATGATTTCAGAAAATCTCCAGCATTCCCCACGGCTCTGGGCTTTTCCGCTCACGTCATTGTGTGCGCTTGTGTTGTGGAAATCAAGCACCTTTCCCTAATCTTACGGAGGAGGCAGAATAAGACCAATTCGCTCTAATGAGAGGATGAATGCAGGCTTGCTGAGGCTGCCAAGTCTCTGTCAGTCACTTGTTTGTGATTCAATTGCAGAAGGGGGAATATGAGCACAGCACTGGCCAGGTTCATTGAAAACAGCTTCTAAGCAGACCCTGCGGCAGCTGCACCATATGTAATTCAGTTTCCCCTGGGTTTCTTATTTATTAAATAACATAGTGGATACTAACTTGTATTAATTTTTAGAAAACATTAACGGGTTCATTTGAGGCCATGGATAAACTTGACTAGTGTTAAGAACACATTCTATCGAGCGGGACGATATCCAATCAGAGGTCAAGCACTATATCTTCGTTATTTCTTCCAGTATCATTACAGTTACCGTACATGTCTTATTTTTTCCTCAACAAATTTACTGTGACATCTTATTCAACCATGGATCATGCATTTGGTTGACCCTGCCCCCGATTACGAGAAAGCAGCGGTCATTCCCTTCATCCAGTGGCTATAGCTGAACCCCACTGTACTCTCTCTCGTACTCATTCGATCCAGAGGTCCCCCTCTCTACCAACAAGCCAACCCACCCCCTCTTCCTTCCACTCTCTGGTAGAAAAGGATATAAAGTTTCTCCACAAAGGGCGATTCAATTCATCGTCTATTCAGGAAACCTGACGCCTGCTGCAGTATTGCCCCTCTGACCATTACAGAGAAAGGCAGCGAGAAGAAAGGGGAGCATGTTTGAGGGGATGACTACAGGGGGTGTTCCAGGGAGTCTTCATGAAGCATACGGAATGTTTTTAATCATTTTGTTTTCAGGATTATGAAGAATGTCCTTTGATCTTCATTTTAGCATAAATGATCAGGGATTAGGGTGAAGGTTCACCCTAATCCTCGATTGGGTTCACCTGGATAACAACTTTGCAAAGAGAATATCGCTTCCATTTTCTTTCGGTAGAGAAGTAAAAAAATCCTGACAAGGAGACACTTACCCCTCCTTCTGTTGGATTGGCGACCCATCCTAGCTCCCCCTGTGCTGCTCTGGAGTCCAATAACGTGACTAGAAAGCAGGAATAGGAGAAAGGTACATTCATTCTGAGTCTGGTCATACACATCAGCACTGGCACGTTAGGTTGTCCAACTGAACTCCAACAAAGTGAGAAAGAAGAACACAATACAGCCATCTCGGGAAAGAAACTTGATTTTTTTTGGGGGGGGGGGGATTTTAACGTGCATGCGGACAAGGAAAAAAATGTTTTTGAAAACAAACCTTATAAAAAAGCAATTTTATATATATATATATATATATAAAATTCTCCCTAACGCCATTTGTAAAACGAGAAACTGTGTATATAAAACAAATGTTACAATTACATTTTTTTAAATTTAAACGTTTGATTTTTTCCTTTTTTTTAATTTAAAAAAATCACTTAAAGTAACTATAATGTCACCCACCCTTTCTTTGAATCTTTAAATTAACCCCCCCCCACACACACACGCACTTGTATTGAATACCTGTTTCAACAGTGTTAGATATACTGTAATCGGAATCAATGACGAAAACGTCTATTTAAACTTGAACGCACGCGTTTCACTCGATAAATTGATCTGAGTGAACCAGAATCATTAAATATGTGCCAAGCAAATGGCCAAGAAAAACTGATTTTTTTACTGACGTTTTTTATACCTAAAAATAAACAAAACAGGTATTATTGTCATGCACGCGCATGTATTTTAAAATGCATACAAATAACAGCATACATTAGTTTAAATGCACGTGTCAATGGACAGCTGGAAAACATTCCCCAATATTCTGAACGACAATTTATTTTGGACATTTCATTTTTGCAGCATGACGCATACGCTTTATTTAAAATTTTCAAAGTAGCCGACGTGTAAGGCAGCCGGGACACGCGCAAAGAGGCAGCGGACCAGTCGAGGACCTGAAAACCTACGGAGCTGTGCTTGGTTTTATCTTAGATGTTTCATATGGCGCTTATAGTGCGCGCACTTGTACACCACACATTCTATTACAATTTGTCCAAACAGAAAATATTAAATGGCTAGTTTATCAAATGTCCGTCGCTAACCAGAAAATGGAACGCGACTGGCGCCGAAGAAGACCCCGTTCGGTCGGATACCGATGCGCAAATGACGCGTAAAGTCCTCGTTGTCTTATCTGTCCAACAATTCGGAAAACGAGTTATTTTCAGGGTCTTTGGTTCTCGTTAGAAGGTCCGAGCCGATGCCAGACCTCTCCGAGTGCCTCCTCGATGAGCATTTAGTTGGACGACTTTTGCTCCAACAAAGCAGTGTGAAAGTTGCAAACTAAGCGTGTCAGTGAATTTTCATCAATTAAATTCTTTGCAGCTGGACGCAAAGGTTCACACATAGTGAGAAGATAAGCGAAATTAAGACGTAAAGCTCACGTCACTCTTACCTTCATTAGGCGGGTATGTCCTAGACTGGGAAACAAGTGTAGAAATCCCAGAAACAAGAAAGGCAACCGTGAACAAAATCCCCGCCATGAGTGCCATTTTTGCCATTGTGCCGGTTTCTCCTCTCTTATGCTTTATCTTTTAATTGTTTTCTCTTCTTCTCTCGGGTCCAGCTTTCTCTCGCTCGCTCTCTTTCTCTCCCTCCCTTACCCTCTTCCCCAGTGGAATAAGGGATAGAAGCGGACACCAGCACAGAGACGCACCACCCGGCGCACCAGAGGCTGGAGGCGGGTCTTCACTGACTAGAACCCCCGTCAATCCAAATGGGAAATGGATAGAGAGGGTGGAGGTATGGGGGGGGGGGGCAAATAACTCGGCCCCACCCGCGTGAACACCCCGCACAAGTCACTCTCTTCTCAGTAGCTTGCAGAGACGAGACAGAGATGGAGTGACGTGACATTTCCACGCGACATTTGCCACACAACCATCAAATTCGACGGGTCACTGAGTGACATTTAAGGATAAACTGCGCCGAGTCTTATCCCGGGGGTCAACAAAGCATTGACAGTCAATTCGGCCATCTCCGGTCAGCCATCAGGTCACTGTGAGGCTGATAGTGGAAAGGAAAGTGTGCAGCCATTAGTCTATTAACTATAGCACATTTAATGGCCTGTATAACTCTTCTCCAATTGAAGTCAAACGCTTAATATGCAATGCAGCAGTTCATGATGCTGATCCAGCTTGTTGTCTGGCACCAGTCAAGCGCAGACGCCGGTCCAAGGTGAGTCGCATTAGATCAAGGTCGCCACCTAGCGGGCGATATTGACGCCTGTTCCGCCTGCAAAATTGAATTAAACAACAAGCATCAGTGTGACCTTCTTAATAAGACACAGAATTGCACTTTGTGGAATTGACTATTTCTATTTTGGGATCGAAGACGAGCCCACATTGGATGACTCTCTCTTGCTTTAGTTTTAATGTTGCACCAAGCATTTGTGAGTGGGCAAATCAAGTCAAGTCAAATTTATTTATATAACAAAAAGTCTCAAAGCTCTTCAAATGCCCACACTTGACAAATATTAACGACATCCGCTGATCTTAACCTCCAGGAGGGCAAGGAAAAAACTAAAAAAAAAAAACAACAGCGACAATTTGGGTATATATATATATATATATATATATTTTTTTTTTTTTTATCAGTTACATTCGCAAAATTTGGCCGAAATTGAAAGCCTCATAAAAATGCACTAACGTAGAACAAACTGAAGTCTCCGCAACTCTAAAATCAATATTTATTATGAATATTGAAACTTGTCTGTCCTATAGGTGATGTGAGTCTAACAAATTTGTTAAGTATTGCATAAATTGTAATCGTAAATAACTGCAGCACAATAATTAGGTGTATGAGTCCGTTGATGCCACTGTTGTCTGTCCAATAGGTGATGTGAGTCTAATAAATTTGTTAAGTATTGCATAAACTGTAATCATAAATAACTGCAGCACAATAATTAGGTGTATGAGTCACATTGATGTACTTATTGCAGCTCTTGAATGACATAATTAGGCTCCTCCTCCTCATACATCTATTGGTAAGAGTATAGAGTTACAAAGTAAATAGACAGAATGTCCCGAGGTTGATTCTTCCTTTCTTTCTTTACACAGAAAGCTAGACGTAATAACATACTTTCAAAAAGCCAGTTTGAGAATTTTGACCGAGCATGCGCTGACATATTGAGGTTCTCTTACTCAGGTTGTCTGTCGCTCCCTGGAAAAATTCCCGTTGCAGCAAGGGGGTGGTACTGTCACTGTATGCGTAGGATTACAAGGCTCTTCAAGGCTATAGACTTCAAACTACAGATAATTTCCCCCAATATCACATTAATGGGAATCTGGATTGTGTCTTTTTAACACATTATGTGGCTTTTATAGATTACAGAGACACTTATTCAGCTGGAAAAGATTCACCTTGCCTGAGTATCCTTGAGCAAGTCATTGGATAACATCTCCAAGGTCTTCGAGCCTCTCTTCTAAGCCAAAAGTGAATTTTATCACATGGATCCGATCCTTGTATTTCCTTTGTGGGAATTTTCATATCCGAATACATCTGTACCGACTACGGCAGCCATCATTTGGCGTGTCCAACTTGTGTAATGATAGTGAGACTGAACAGGCGACTGCGGCTGTAAGACTTGCCGAAACTGAACAGGTGTCTGAAGGTTTTTTGTGACGACATATAATTGTGAATGGGAAACACTGTTTCTGGCTTTTTTTTTTGGTCTCTTTATCCCAATATAGTTGAGCAATGTTTCGTCGTGTGTCATGACATGGTGAAAAACAGCAACTTCAGTCAAAAAGTTGGACAGTGGTCGAGTAGCAAGATGTTTCATCTTTTCTTCGGCAGTAATAGTGGAAGTCGGCTGATGTCTGGGTGGGGCCTTTGCGGTGGTCCTAACGGAGCGAGAGTGGGCAGGTTTATGCCTCTTGTCTTCCTTTGTTTGTGTCAGTGGTTTTGATTGATGACACTCCCATCATTTCCTTTATTTTCCTGTCAACCAAAGCATCTTTTTTTCACTGGAGGATGGGGGGTAGGAAGAGCACACACTCATCTTTTCCTCCTTCCACAAACCCACTTAGCTTTCTCCAGCTGGCATCTGCTGCCCACACATCTGCATTGTGTGCCAATCACACACGCTGTCTCCCAATCCTTTGTTTTGGGACCAGCACATGCACACACGCTCCCTCAAATTAGCTCACAAATTCCAGGACAGTTTTGCAATACATCAAACTGATGCTGGGAATATTTCTTTCACTTTGGATGCCATATGTGATGACATCATTTAGAGAAAAAAATATATCGAAAAATTTAACAGTTGAAATGAATCTGTAGAAAATCACGATCGAATTGTGCGGACAGCTTCATACTAACACAAACTGACACGGCACTGCAGCTAATCCCCCACTGACAACATAACTGCAACGCAGACCTATAATCAACTCGTTGTTGTGTGATTCAAATATTCCAGGACAATGGGCAATTTCCTGCTTCAGAGTCACCCTGTCACCATTATAAAACCTTCATTGTCTACACATGTAATTTTGAGGAACAATTTAAGTTTTTACTGCACACAACTGCCCGTATATATTGTTGTTCTTCTCTTCGGTACTTTTTGTTTTGACCTTATTCAGGCATTCAGACTCATCATTCAGTGGAAATTGCAAAAAAATAAATAAATACATTTTAAAAAAGGACAACAAAACCCAAATATGAAGATAAGCATGCATACTTTGATGCTTGCAGGGTTGAGGTCTCCTGGGGTATTCTAAGGTCTTGAATGTCACACCCAGTGCTGGTTAAACCTCTGAACTTTTGTGTGAATTTAGTGGCAGATTGTCCGAATATTTTGGTGTAATGCAGAATTTTTAGAGCCAGGGGCAGCCAACTGTAGCGGTTTTTCTCCATATTGAATAAGGTGCGATAAAACGATTCGTATGAATCAGATCATGCAAAGGGAATTCATGTGCCATCTCCTCTAAATTAAGTAGGGTTGAATGTTGTTCTAAATGATTAGGTTATTTAAGTTGAATATTTTTGTGTTCAGCTGTTGATATTGATCAGAACTTAAGCGCCAAAGGCAAAAAAAAAAAAGTCACCATAATGTCATGAGAATAATGACACAAGTCAATCACATGGCGTCACATATTGATTGCATTCCAACTATGGATGATCCATTTCATGCCTTCTCTTTCGTCTTCATTGAGTTTTAGTCTTTGTTTTCTCTAAATCCCCTAACTTCCCCCATCCTGGTCTAAGACCCCCGGGCTACTTGCCCTGCCCATCACCATTGCATCGACAGCATGACGTAGAGTTCCTGAGACCACAGGAGGAAGGTGGTGCCCAGAGGTCAAAGCAAGTGGGAGTCAGTGGAGTCACCAGAATGTCTAAGATGAAATCAGATCTACTGGACTGGAAATAGACACAAATAAGTACACGGGCTAACAAAGCCTTCTACTTGTTTCGAGTATAACAGTGGGCCCAGTCGCTGCATGTAATCATCCAAATCGCCTTACTTTAACAATCCTATAAACTTTTGTTCACTGGGCCGACAAATTTAACAACTGCAGAAAAAAAAAAGAAGTCTGTGTCATGATCCCTTTCACATTTTTATTCTTAGAACCTTCCAAATCATATCCAGTACCAGTAAAGCATGCAACCATAATCCATTGAGCTTTAGTAAATAAGTCCATACGGCCGTAAATAAAACAAAGACAAAGGCAGGGGGACTGGTAAGAAAATATGGGTGTGCCATTCAACTTGTACATTCTATTTGTCTTCCGGGACCCTTTTTCCTCAATATCGACTATTGCTCCCAGGTTTCATTTATTACACTTTCACCGTCGTCTGATTGACTTTTTATTCTTAAAACATAGTATTTGACGTGCATCATGGTGTACTCCCTTCACCGCCTATCTGAAAATGAGGTGCTTTAACCAGCCACACTCCGCTGAAGGGGCTGCCTCATCGCTGGATTGTGTATCGGTGATGTAAGGGCTTTTCCTCATAGGAGCTCACATTTGATGTCAATAATTCCAAAATATTGTGCAGATCGCTTTGATATCTTCACAGGTTGACGTGGATAAGAGTACGAATGTGCATTTGAATTTTGGCGGCGAGTGGTCACCATTTCAAATACGAGGTGACAACAAAATGTCACAAATCAAATCAGGGAAAAAAATTCGGAATTAAATTACTGCAGATTCTTTTAGAGGGGGTGAATTTTAGTGCTGATATCATTTTTACATCCAGACCTATTATGTGCTATAATTGCCAATGTGGTCCAGCCCACTGAAGTGTCCCTTTAAGTTTGTGGGTTTGTTTTTTATTATTATTATTATTATTTGCAACTTATACACAAAAAGCTTATTTCGTTAGGCTGGGCACTCTACTGCACGAGCTGGGATCAACTCGACTCTCAACTCAACTGTATTTCTAGAGCACTTTCAAACAGCCATCACTGCATACAAAGTGCTGTGCATGGAGCAATTAACATATACAACAATAAAGCATCAACATAAACTGTCAGATATACAGTTCATATTTTGGTTTGTTTTGTGTTGGTTCTGTGATGTCTGAAGGGGATTCTCATTCCAGAAGTCATATGTACCCACTTACTCCATTTAAAGTTGGGTTTTGTAAGATGAATTGTCCATTATTGCTAAAGCATCAATTCAAAGTACACACCAGCTATCTCTGTGCAACTAGCATCTCCCTGTAAAAGATTGTGCACTGAGGTCATTTGGCAGCTTCATCAG